CAACGATAATAAAATGTGAACATATGTGAAACTTTAGTAGACAGTTTTAAACCCTGCTGATTTTACACTTAAGCACACGCTTAAGCCTCCCACTGTGAGCACTCAAATAACACTTAATTCTGCTTGTATCCCTTAGTATATTTGTAAAGCTATGCAAGGAAGCAGCAGCCTCCTTTCCCTCTCCACCCTTTAAAAGACCCCTACTTCTCTAATCTAACTGCCATAGTGCCTACTCACAACTCAGTACTGTAACTTACAGATATCTGTCAGATATCCAGGGGCGTGCTCAATACACTGCAGTGAGTAGAGCACTTTTCTATCAAAATGATGCCAAGATAGGCCCCAAGCTGTATTTCATAAGCTGTTTGCTGGGAAATGCTTATACAGAAACAAAGTGAAGAGAAAAAGTATGCAAGAAGCAAATTTTCCAGGTAAGAGGCACTGTATTAACTTGCCCAGTTACCCATGTCTCAGTAACTGACAGATTAGATTACTGAAATGCACTGCTTCCTCTGAAAATAGTTGAAACATAGGAATAAACCTGTTAATAGCAACTGAGCAGGTATGTCTTGCCTGCACTGACAGTGCCCTTGACTCTCAAAATTTGTCAAACTCAGTTGAAAGGAATGGTTTCAACTTTGAGGCCCTTGCGTGGCTCAGGACACAATCCTTTCACTATCTTCGCCTGCATCAATTCACCTCCACTCTGAGCTGATCATTCAAGTGCTTTCTCTGGGTGCTCCCTGCCATCTGAAGCGCAGTGGGTGACAACTACAGAAAGAGCTGTTTAAGATGGGTGACAGCTCCCTTCTTTTGAATGCCCTTGGACATTGAATCCTTGTTACTATCATTTAGACACTTGGAAGAAGCATTCATTTTCCCAATCTTTTAAGACTTAGTGTTTTTACAGCAATATTAAGCTCTTTTTAAAGAACAAGTAGATTTCATTGTTTATTTGAACTGACTGGTTTTTCAGTTTGTTGTGCTGTTTGTAAACTTGTAACATTACTTACTCTTTTGTCAGCCACACAGACAAAAGCATATTAATGTTGAATTCTGGATGTGACTTGCATAAACATACCCAGTATGTCTGAAAACAGGCCCATGACTAGGAAAATCACTGGGTAATATACTTTAAAACAGCACTTAATAGTTATGCTTTCCCCCAATTAGGGTGTCTGGTTGATACAGGAGAAAAGGCATTCTTCTTACACTATGCTGAGTGAACCACAACTTGGTATCTTCTCTCTGTATGTCTGGGCAAACACATATAGGCTTAACGGCCTCCTCAGATTCAATGTTTAGTCAAATTTAGTCTATATTCTCAGCAAATTAAAAACTGACTGGGGTTTGATTATAAGCTATGGCAGCAAAGACGCATATATACCCTTGCTTGGGATATGTAGTCATGTGCAACCAACAAGCATGTTATGTGAAGGGCAAACGCCTCTCACATAATGCTTAAACAGGCCATGGGTTAAGCAAGGGTTGTTTAGCTTTTGCATAAGCCACAGTTGCTGGATTCACTCAAAACAGCAACTCTTAAGGGGTGGGGGTTGCTTATTCAAAATGGAGGCCATGCCTGTCCCTATACTGGTCTCATTCTATATGAAACTTTTTGAAGGCACCTAAACCAGCCTAGGAGTTTGCTGAATGGTTATCTACTATTAGATAATGTTGAAGCACAAGCAGATTATAGTCAGATTGCTATACTTCATTTCCAAAGTATATCTCCAACTGTGCGCTTCCCTGATTTTTTTTTTTTTTTTTTTTTGCATATACCATATATCAGCCTGTCAGCAGAATTAAAATACGAATTGGCAACAAATGCTTGAGTATTGAGTACACAGTAAAATCCATTCTTCAGAGAGCAAAAAGCAGTGTTTCACATAAAATAGTTTAAAATACTTGTGGAAAAGTAATTGATTAAAATGTCAATTTTACAGCTAAAATAAAACTACATTGGTAAAGTTTAATAAATAGTGGCAATGCTAGGTATTTTATAAATTAGGGTGGCACAGGATTTTGAAGGGAATGCTAATGTAGATGTGTCTGCATTCCTACAGAAATGATCTTGTGACAAAACCTGCCTCTTTAAATGTTAGAAAAATCCAGTACTGTCACCAGTTCTACCCCACTCCAGATAGCCAACTCTAAAATCAAAAAGTTCACACTAACACCCACCCCACAAAAATCTGTATTTGTGAAACTTCTAGTATGCAATAAAGGTGACTAAGGACACTGGCTGGGATCCAGGGAGCTACTGTAGGCACACCCAAGAGTTTAGTCATGACTAGTGGGATTTTTGACTGAGAAGAGCAGACCCAAATATCTTACCAAATGGCTCGAAATTCTTATAAATTTCACTAACAATCTGTTATGTGCTGTAACATGCTACTGTTTTTTAGAAACAAAACCAAATCCCCATTTGGCACAAAGAATTGCTATCAGAAACAAACATTTACATTGTGACTATATGGGAATTTAGTACAAAACTGAATTTACCTTCGTAATTGTTTTAGGTCTAACAAGATCAAAAAAGCATTTTTATGCTTATATATCGAACAAAGTACCAAATAATTTGTTTTTCACTGCACACTAATCTAATAGTTCTAATCACTTCTTGGCCTTTTGGCTAAGATCAAGTGTAGTGTGTAGAAAATGGAACAAAGCTTCAATGGAAACAGTACATGCAACCACACCAAAGACTGCAGGTGTAGAGCACCAAAAATTAAGGTTTAAAGTGTAATCCAATGCAAGTTTAGACAGAAAAGGCCTACAGCTCCCAGCATGCTTCAACCAGCTGTGCTGGGAGTAATATACCTTTTTCCTGACTGAACTTGCATAGGAAACTTGCACCTTTAGTTAAAGTACTATTTCTGCAGTTCTCCAGTAAACTACCATATAAACAAGTTAAAATGTATAGTCCATTCCAACAAATTGTTTAGAATTTGAGCCCTATCCTGTCGACACTACCATGATTTTTTTAAGGAAAGTTAAGAAGAAAGCAAATGAGACAGCATATTAGCTGTTGAGCACTGCAGGTAACAGCAGTTCATTTTCTTCAAACTCACCTTCTGCTTCTATTAATCCTGACAGTTCATCATCACTTCCAGTAGATGATATGCCAGTGCCAGAACCCACAGAAGTAGAAACAAGTAAGAGCAGAGCTAGAAGTTTATTCCAGAGGTACAGGTTTATCCCCAATAAATTCTAAGAACTTTTTCCAACTCACTGGATTTAGAATAAAGTATAAACTAACTCCTTCTAAATGCTAAGGAACAAATTAAGTTAAAGGTCACGTTGTGAGCATAGCATCATTTTTATGGAGACTTTTCAAACTGTTAATTTATTGAAGACAGTTTTAAAACATATCAAGTGTATTATACAATCATGATTCATTGAATTTACTACTAATCAGGCATTATTAATAAATAATATTTTTCATTTAACCCACCCTTTAGTTTACCCCATGTTGTTTCAATTTCTATGGTAACATTAACATTCTTAAATGCTCCCCTAATCCCTTCTGGAAATCCACTTTTGTATTGGTTTACATTTCATTCATCAATTTGTTTATATCAGTCTCTCACAGAATGTAATTCATTCCTCCCATAGGCCTTGGCCTTTAACTGAATGATAGATTATCCATATATAAGCCAGAAATGCCTAGCTAACTCACCAGAACAGTAGTGCAGATGGACTTAAGTTCAGACTCCACTTTCTCTCGGTAGTCCTTGACAAGTTGCATCTTCTTGTCATTGCCATCGGTTTTCTGCTCAATGCTAGAGATCACCCGCCAAGCGGAGCGTCGCCCCCCCGACAACATTCTTGTATGCCACGGACAGAAGGTTGCGTTCTTCATTGGATAATTCAGCACCTTGCTCTGTCACTGCCTTCATACAGGTAGCCATATCATCATAGCGCTCTGCTTGTTCAGCCAGCTTGGCTTTCTGGATCATCTCGGTCTTTTCCATGTTGGCCAGCAGTGGTATAAGCAGCAAGGCAACTGATTTGGTAGAAAAAGATGGTTCTTTCACTCAGAAAAAGAAGGCACCTCAAAACCTGCAACAACAAGGAGAAATTCTAAAACCAGCACTCATTCTAAAGAATCAAGAGCTGTGAGCCATAGGAGGAGCTTCAATGACTATAGGAAGCTAGAGCAGCAAGAGTGAAAGTGGCTTAATGAAGGTATTGAGAAAGCAGTCACTGAAGGCCCCAATTCAAACAGCTGTTGGGAGATTCACAAAAGAGAAAATGCTGTTGTCTGGAAGAAGTTAATACAACCAGTCTACAACAAGAACAGAACAAATATTTATCTCCAGAAGAACTACAGAAGAATTTCCAAGCAACTCTTGAAAGCCTTGTGGATGGGACTCTGGGCCTTTAGACATGGCTATGGAAATATTGCAGAATACAGGTCTCAGGTGTCTCTAGCGGGACACCTTAGAAAGGCTCAAAAGAGAGAAAAACTCTCCCTAAGGAATATCTTAAACGTTTTTAAGCAGAATATATTTGCAAAAACAAGCCAAACGTGGTTACGGAATGGTTACAGAATACTGAAGGGGGTGTGATAAATAGCCCACTACCTGACAGTGCGGGAGGCAGAGACGCGCCAGTGAAAAGAGTGAACATGGGCAAGCGGTGGCACGGAGCCTAAAGAGCGCGTAACTCTTTCTCTCGGGCGAATTAAGACTGTGCAGCGTCTCGCAGATTGACTGAAAAGGGAGAAAGGAGGAAGACGAAGGCGCGTAAAGGAAGTCAAAACCGCGACACTCCTTACTTGGCCCGGGAGAAACAGGACGGTGCGCAAAAGGTGTCGGATCTTTGTTCGCCGAAGCGGAGGTACGAGAAGGCGCCCGCCTTCCCGGAGAGCGGCAGGAAAAGGCGGTAAAAACGGGGGTGGAGGGAAGGCGAGAGGGAGGGAAGGGAGATCGGATGCCCCCTTCTTTTTTCCTTGGCACCTCCCACAGAGCTAAGGGAAAGCCGCGGCGACTCCACGCCCAGGACGAAGCTGCCTTTGTCCCCGGAGGAGGGACTAAAGCAGAGGCAGTCGCGGCGAGTACGAACGGAAACGATAAGCCTCCCCACTGCTCCGACTTTCCTTTCCCACCGTCCCTCAGGAAATGCCGCGGAGGCTAAGGAGACCGGTACGAAATGGCGGCGGCAGCGATTCCCTCCCCTCCCCGGCGGGGGACTCCCAGCTCTGCGCCGCCTCCACAAAATGGACGACGCGGCAGAGATTAGCCCGAGAGGGAGGAAAGGCGCCCGAGGCAGGGACGCGCCCGCTCCCTTCCACTCGCCAGGGCCACCTTCACTCTCACCTGGGTCCACTTAGGCGCTAGGCCGGGCCGGCGGGCGCCTGCTGGGTCGAATGCGCTCGCTCCGCTCCGCGGCCGGATCAAGAAGGTGGGGAGGAGAAGGAGGAGGAGGAGGAAGAGAAAAAGCCGCTCCCGTCTCAAGCGAGAGAAACAGCGTTGCTAAAGGGCGTTGGCACAAAGCGAGACTCTTTGCAACTAGGCCCGCGCTCAAGCAATTTAGCCTATCGACGAGCGCTATACGAACGCCGACCCCGCCTTCACGTTTCTTGTAGCCAATCCTGCCTCTGCGCGCTGCCGCGGAGGTGGGCCGAGTTCGGGCACAAGCTCGGTTGGCCCGTGGGCTGCTGCAGCTGGGGCCACGGGGTTTCCTCCAATTAGATCCAGGGTGAGCTAACGTCACTGTCGCCATGGTGATGCTGCTCCCCCCTCCGTCCTCGCCCTCGCCCGTCCCTCGCCCATCCTTTTCGGTCGCGCAGACAGCCCTTGGAAGTCTGGGCTGGGCGAGGCACGAGACAGTGCGGAAGCGAGGCCGGGGCAGTCTCGTGCTGCTGCGGTGGCTGGAGGGCGAAGAGCGTCAGAAAAGCGAGAGCGGCTGGGGCTTGGGTTTCAAGTGGCCACCACAGTAAAGAAGGTCAAATTCTTAGTGGGAGGAATGCGAAGCTCAAATAAGGCTCGCAGAGGCCGGAGTACTGCAGAGAAGACGGGCGAGTCGTGGAGAGACTGCCAGCCTGTTAAGCAACCAAGTGTGTGACTTCCAGAATCTCTGCAGCACCACTTAACTGCTGATGAGTTGCAATACAAGCGATCATCCGATAAAGGATGCTCTTGGAGCGTGGCCGTAGAGTAATTTTTTTGGAATTTGAGATTGCTTCCACACTAAATTCACAAGCAGCTTGGAAGTGGAATTAAAACGGAGGATCCAAGTTGCACTGAGTCAAACCCCTGGTTCTTATAGTTATTATTGTCGACAGTGACTGACAGCTTCTCTTTCTGATTTTAGGATACCCATCTGGAGATACCCAGGATTGAACTTGGGGCCTTCTGCCTGGAGGCCATGCTTTGTCATTTAAGCTATGATCTTTCCCTACAGCTACATTCTCCATCAATGCAGTTCCCATGAATAAGAGGCTTGTAATATTTTTTGCTCAGAACTGGGTCTCTTGCAATGTTAATTTAAAAAATGGGCATTGGTGGGTTATTGCTTCCTGTCTAAACATGACTCGGAGGTATGGAAGTTCCTGATTAATGACAAGTTAATTGAATCTTGAATATCAACTTCTGTTTGGGGAGTATGAGTTCAAATTGCTTTCCATTTCTTATTTTCATTTTTATATGCAGTATGTAATTCCAAAGTAGATAGCCTATTGGGACCCTCACCATAATTATCTCTGGCATATCTTGACTGTGCTGCCAACTGTTTATGTTCCCCAAGTTGATAACTGACTTCAAACACTCATTCAGAACTACCCTCGATTAATTTATTTATTAGATTTATATCCTGCCTTTTTTCTTACAAGAACTCAAGGCAGCTTACATAATTCTGCTGCTACTCTCAATCTTTTGCCCACAACGACAACCCTGTGAGGTAGGTTGGGTTGAGAGTGACGGGTTCAAAGTCACCAATTTGGTTCCATGGCTAAGTGGGGACCAGAACCCAGTCTCATGCTCCTAACCACTGCAACACATTGTTTCTCACCCCCATCACATCTGAATGAACCAGATGAAAACGAGAGATTGAGAAGCTTGTCTTCAGCACACATGGCCAACCCAGAGATGTAGCTCAGTAGAAGAACACATGCTTTACCTGCAGAGGATTCCAGGTTTGATCCTGGCATCTCCAGGCAAACCCAGAAAACAATCCTGCCTGAAAGCCCCACAGAAGGTGTAGACAGTACTGGGCTAGATGGTCCAAACCCTCAGTATAAGGCAGCTTCCAATCATTGTTCTGGATGACTTTGTATACAGATGTGAAAGGGAAGGGGAGACAGAAGTGCATTCTGACATACTACATAGGACAAAACCTGGGCATGAAGAGCAATCTTCCAATACTTTCTTCTAGAACCAAGTTTCCTGGACAGAGTGCCCCCATCCTGCCACTCTTGGGGGAGGGATACCCACAGGGCCTGCAACGCTTGGCCTAGCTTACCAGCCAGTCCTTATTTGTGGGCATCCTCTCCTCATTGAAGTTGTCCTGCACACACATAACTCGTGAGAGATGTAGGATCACAGTTCATGGTACTGATCGCTGCCAAGAACTCTGTAAGAATAAACAGGGACACAGTTTGTCCTGACACGACAGGTCCTAGTGCCCCAAGGCTCTGGCAGGACCTCCTTGATGCCTACCCAGGCCCCCAAAAGAAGCATTGTGGAAAATTACTATGGCACTTGGCCAGTGCTGGGCAAAGTGTTGGTAAGAGGTACCCTTAAGAGGTAACCAAGCAAAGATAACTTTGTTAAGGGGCCCTTTGAACCTGGAACTGGCCAGGCTGACCAAAAGTATCTCTACTGAAACTGGGCTGAGAACCAACACGATCTGCATTCAGATCTATCAGTTTTGCCCAAGATCAGCTGAAGCTGCCTGATCACCACCAGCTGGTTCCCTATCTAAAAACAAGGTTGGAGTTCCTCACTGATAAAGTCAGTGTGGATCCAGTGGTGGCTTTTGGAAATGAGACTGCCTTCTGCAGAGCATCAGGGAAGTATTTCTCTCACAGGGAGACATTCGGTGGTGCCCACTTTAATTCTAACATGAATGAGGTACACTAGCATTGCATAAAGAACTTCTAGCACAAGGGCAATAGCACTTGCAGGTGAGATGGGTTTTCTGGGAAATATAACCTGCCAGCAAGCATAATTGGCATATGTTAGAGGTTGCTTACATTAGTGCAACATAATTTATGTTGGTGGTACTGTTAAGTTGGACACTGACCTTTGGCAACCTCCTCATCTGCTTGGCCTGTTGATTAGAGCTATTAGAGCCTCAACAGGCCAGAATCAAAGGTGATTGTTGTGTAATCTGCCTCACACAGTGCCTTTAAATGTCCAGGAACTCTGCCTAGGGAGGAAGTAACCACACAACTAACCAGAAACTGTATTCTTTCTTCTCCCCCAAGAAGCAGCATTTTTATTTTTTTCATAGACAGTCATGTAGCATATGTTATTTCAAGAAGTAGCTTTTTCAGAAATACTGAGGCAGAAAATGCCTTTCTGTTGAATATCCTTTCCAGGAATGTAAATACAAAAGCAACATTATTTTGAAAAGCTTTTATAAGAGCTGTGTTGGTCCATCTAGTTCAGCACTGTAGTCACATACAGCTGCCTACAAAACCCCTGAACATGTGTTCAGTATCATTCTCCTGTGTCTAAGCATATATGTATATAGGCATTTCTTGCTCATAGTGGTTTCCTTGTGTATTCATCAGAGGTCAGATAGTCATAGGTGGCCTATCTCTGAAATGCAGGTGTAGGAATTGATGTGGAACTGACCATGCTGGAGCAGGAAGGGAGATTGTCACTCTTGGACTTGGGTCATGATATGTGTCGCTGCCATTTTCCACTCTGCTGATTATTCAGGTATTTATCGGTTCAGGAGGCAAATGAGCTGTCTGTTTCTCCCTCTTAGAGCGGATGGTACAGGCTGAAAGAGTGGGATGGAATATTCATGGCAATCTCATTCTCAAGGCATTAAAAAGAAGCATGCAGTTAATTGTATTATTTATTCTTGTAAGGATTGGGTTTGGAAGAAATTGGATAACTCTTAGAATAAGGACAAAAATGGGAGGGAGAAAAATGTAGAAGTTTGGCATTTTTTCATCAAAGAAAAGAAATAGATTAGATCTTATAGGGTGCAATGAAGTAGCCACATAACTGCATATAACCACTCAAGGGAACTCACGTGCCCTTTTCGTCTTCCTCCACAAGGGATAGTGGAACATATCCATAAAACAAACCAGGTGGAAGGTTTGACACAAACTGTCCAGGCGCATCCCACTCTGCATTCAAACTGTGGCACCCATGTTACATGGAGGTAACAACTGGCACACAAGACTGGACCAGGAGTGCTGGACAAGGCCCCCCAGTCTTATGTTCGGTGTCAGCTGTTAAGTATGCAGCCATTGACTGACAACAGCTCATTTTTCCACAATTTAAATTTGGCAAGGGTGCCATTACACATTTGCCGAACGAGATTATACATATGCCAAATGCTGGCTCAGAGAACTGCACAGTATTGTTTGGTATGACTAGCTATAATTGATCCTGAGCCTTTCTCAGAATTCCCTCCGCCACGCCCCAGTTTCCATGGAGTTTGCTTCCTGGTAAGTAGGTTAGACTGCCAGGCCTGCTGTTATGTGGAAAACACAGGCTTGTGAGCCCCGTAATACTAACATGGGGCTGGAACAGCCCCCTCAGGCAAGATTTGGCAGTGAGAAGTGATTGCTTACATGCACACAGAATTTTTCCCCTTCTAGCCCCCTCATCCAATTCCTTTTCAAGAGGGTTTCTCTTTTGGAGAGGGCTTTTGTTACAAAAACTGGGCACAGGCAGAGTTCCATTACAACCATGATAAGGCAATAAATATGCACAACTGCCTGGAACTTACTGGAGATGAGACATTTCTGAAAAGTTCAGCCCAGCCTTTGGCTTTGATACTTGGTGCCTGGAATGTGTCTATATCATAATACCATGTATTATGTATAGCTTGATAGCTATACATAGCTTGATACTCTAGTACCTGATCAGATGAGAGGGACTGGAATATTTTGCAAGGGAAGCTGCACCTTTTCTGATACTTCCATCTAGGAAGGTCTCAGTGGTTTATTAATCCTTTCCTCTTTGCATCTGATATAATGGGTTATTCTTCCCTGTTTCATATAATTGCTTTTAATTACACATAGATGAAGAAAGGAAAGACTTAGCGACACAGAAGATAGAGCATACCTTACTAACTGCTGTGCAACATTTTCAATTAATAGTTTTTATTCATCCAAAAAAGAACATCCATTTATTAGCAACTCTCATCCTGATTATAATTTTAAGTAAAACTTACTTTAACACAATTAAATCTGCTTCCAAGTAGCCATGGTTACCATCAGACTATTTACACGTATGACTCAGTACATAATTTAGGTTCACAGAAGGGAAAGAAAGTATGTTACAAGTTAATGTTGGGTGGATGCAGACTGAGTTATTTTAACGGCCTCTTAGAGTGCTGCAGGATAATTGTGTGAGTGGATAAATAAAAGTATAAGATCATCTCTGAAGATGGCGGAGATGCTCTCACTGATAACTTGTTTATGCAATCATATACCAAGCCAGTTTAATAAATTATTATTACTCCTTTTGCATTTATATCCTACCTTCTTCCCCCTTGCGAGGAGCCCATAGTGGCTTACATAGTCCTCCCCTACTCCCCTTATCCCCACAACACCCTTGTGAAGTAGGTTAGGCAGAGAATGAGCAACTGGCCCAACATCTCCCAGTGAGTTTCATGGGTTGCAAAGAACCAGCCCATGCTTCTACTGGTTATCCCAAGATCCATTGGACATACTCCCAGAAACATGTGAATAAGCCACATAGCACCGTTAGTCATGAATCAACCCATGATGAGCCCAATAGACAATTGAGCTTGCCATGGGCTGTTGGGCGCCTTTCCCCTGGTCCTCCCCTGAGTGTCCCAGGGGAACCCATAGCAAGACGCATCCTGTCTGTCTTCTCAGCTATGATGGTGTGCCTTTTTCCATCCACAACAGCATCTCTCCCTCCCAGAGGTCGTAAACAGCTGCTGGCAGCCTCTTCGCAGTGCCCAAGCAGCACATTAGAAGGCTTGCCACTGGCTCATTATCTCTCTTATTTTCTAAACAAATATACTTCAAACATGAACAAACTTTCTCATTTTACTTGCGCACTTTGGCGAGTCTGACTAAAATTAAAATGCGCACATATTCAGGGTGCATTTTTGAAGGAGAGGGGTGACCAACCAGTGACAACACCTTCAATGTGTTGTCAGTTGAGGTCAAATTGGAGATCACTTTTCATGATCTCGGGAAAAATAATAAAATGGGGAAAGCAGGCAAAAGGGGTATGATGCGTGCCAAGAGGCCCACTGTCATGGCGGGAGGTGCAGAACCAGTGTCATTTACCCCAAAGTGCTGCTTGGGCAATTACGGGGCACCCGGCACTGGTAGTGGCCCAGGCAAGCTTGACGAGCTGCAAAGGTTCCTGGCCACTCTTGCAAAGAAACTCACCAGTTCCCAATACCTGCAGTGGAGACAGTCACTTGAATTCAGATGACAGGACAACCCACCATGGGTACAACAACCCTAGAACAAGCCTTGTATTGCCAGTGCTGCTTGTTGGCCACAAGGAGCCTCCTTGCAGGAAACGGGCTGGGTTTGCGTGGCGGGACAACCCGCCATGGCTTATCACATACGATCAGCGGTCTTGGGTTCAGCACAGACCCAAGTTG